AAACCTACCAACAAGTCCCAAAATATCAAACGAACTTAGTCGAGCCTTCAATCACATCAAACAATGCTAAAATCATGAATCGCACATCGATTTAAGCCTAATGAACTTTTGAACTTCTAACTTCTACATTCAATACCGAAACCTGTAAATCACGTCCAATTAACCCCAAATTTTACACACAAGTTACAAATGACACAAAGAACCTATTCCAACTCTCGAAACCCCAATCCGAGCCTGGTAGGTACAAAGTCAACTCTCGGTCAAATTTCCAACTTTCGTCATTTCAAGCCTAATTCAACTACGGACCTCCAAATCACAATCCGGACACATTCTTAAGTCAAAAAATCATCCAACGGAGCTAAAAGAACCCTCAAAACTCCATTCCGGAGTCATTTACACATAAGTTAACATTCGGTCAATCGTTTCAACTTAAGCTTTCAACCTCGAGACCAAGTGTCTCAACTCATTCCGAAACCTCTCCGGACCCGAATCAACTACCCCGACAAGTCATATAAAAACTATAAAGTATAAAATGAGCAGTAAATGAGGGAACGAGGCTACAACACTCAAAACGGTCAGCCGGGTCATTACAAATCCAATCATGGAAGAGATCATCGGAAATCTGTGAAGAGAATTTTCAGATACATGAAGGGAACTGCAGATTATTTACTATGTTATAATGAAATTGATTTATATTTAAGAAGATATATAGATGTTGATTGGGATGGTGACTGGAATAATAGAAAATCAACATCCGGTTATATTTTATTACTTAATTGTGGGTCTATTTCATGGAAATGTAAGAAAAAACTTGTACAACCATTTCGATGATGGAAGCTGAGTTCACGGCTTATGTGTCTGCAGTATAAAAAACTATTTGATTGAAGAGATTCTTTGAGAATTTGGATATTACAAAGAACTCTCAAGGTCTCATGACTCTATATTGTGATAGTCAAGAGGCTGTTGCATACATAAAAGATCCTAAGTATCAAAACCAAACACATTGACATCAAGTATAACTTGTGAGAGACATGGTAGCAAGTGGAGAGATTAATTTACAGTATATTCCTATGCAAAGTATGATAGCTGATCCTTTTACAAAGACAATATCTAGAGACCTGTTTGAGAAATATGTTATGGCTCTAGGTTTGCGAAGGATATGACCATGTTTATGTATTGTAAAATGACTTGATTATTATACTATGCTCATCAATGTTTGACTCTTTAATTTTCTTCATATCTAGTATGCATGTGATGATATTGACAAAGTGTGTCGGACAAGTCACAATATTGACTCTCACACACGAGTATTCACCTATTATGTTGAGAATCATGAAAAGATGAGGTCTTATAGAACCTTGAATAGTGCGAGGTCATATTTCACTTGTAAAGGTCGGTCTTGACAACTAGTCGGACTTACGAATTCCACCATTCTATTATGACTTATTTTGTAAGTCCAATGCGAGTTTCTCTAAGAAGATAGATTGAGGATTATTGAAGTGAGAAATTCGGGTTAGATATTTGTAGATGTCTATACCAATATCTTTACGGTGTTGAATGAGTACAAGAAGAAGACACACCTACTAATATATGGTGAGAATACCGTAACACGTGTTTCATACCATATGTGCTAATGACCAATGAGATAATGGAAGAATTGATCCATGCTTCTTCATTGTGCAAGATCCCCAAAAGTTATATTAACTTTTATTGGAATACCCTTTGACCTTTTACTGTTTCTTGAAGTGCCAATCGATGTTGCTACTTTAGCATGTCACTAATAGTCATGTGTGATTCAACAATGTATTGCATGTCTAGGAAAGGTGTTGATTTGGAATGGAAAGATTCGAGTAGAAAGGGAAGACAACTAAAATTTAGTAATAACTTGTATTCATAGATCGACAACACTTACCATGAGGGTATTGGTTGTAACTTTGGATACAATGTTATACAAGAACTCGAGTTTACCTCTTTCGAGGATGACCGGATAAGTAGCTACTGTAATATCGAATGATGTCTGGGTATTGCGAGTAATAATAAGATCCTCATGGTAGTAGTAAATCTTTTCCGCACGTGATTGAATTTTTACATGGAGTTGCTAAACAACCTTAAAGGATGTAAGAATATTATAGCTCTTAATGCTCGCAGGTCGCACGACTATGTGCTAGTATGAATTACATGTGATATTGCCATGGTACTAGCTTGGATCTAGTCCACCATGTGCGAAGTGAGAGATGTTGGATATTGGGTCGCCTATGTGGACTGACCCGGTCCACCAAAAAGAGATAAGATTGATAGAAGTTTATTACCAAGAATGTTTATTAACTCCCAAAAGAGTAGGAGAAGTGCTACACGTGAAAAGAATAAGGGGAGCGTGCAAACAGTTGAATAGATCAGCAGTTCTCCTCTTCTTCTCTTCTTTATATATTTCTCTTTAGTATACATAGAGATTCTCCCTGACATAAAAGAAAGAACACAATAAAGTTAAGGCATCTAGTTTGTGAACAAGAACTTCATTTTCGAGAGAGACGAGGTTGGCTTGGAGCAATTCTTCGAGAAGAACTTCCGCTGTTGTTAACAGGTACACAATCGATGTCCCTGTTACTGTTTAATCTTCAACATCATCAAAAACCAATAATGAAATCATAAATGAAGAGTACAATAAAATATAACATGGCATGGGATATAATTAGGAGAACAAGTTAGAATTTGCAAGGAGAGCATCAATTCGGCGAAAAAACAAACTGTTATAAAAAAATACCAAATAGAACAAATTAAAAATTAAAAATTAAAAATAGAGGCTTTTGTTATTTAAATTCGAATAGTCAACTTCCTTAACCAAAACAACCTTATAGTAAGTGCTTTTTCAATTGTGACTATTTACTTCATCTAATAGAAATACTAAAGCCTAATTCATCATCACTCAGATTTTTTTTTAAATTTTCTTTACCTTTTCCTTTCTATCTTTTTCTATTTTTTTTTTTTGGTTGGAAGTCCTTGAAATTATGGAAATTGGGGAACAAGAAAAATCAAATTATATTGCATGTTTAAGCTAATAGATACAGATATAAAGTTATATATAAAATATAGAGTAGCAGATGTAGGGAGTAGATAGTCAGAAAGGAAGATTGCACGTAGTCGATAAAATTGTAATTGTTCGTGGAGATTAATAAAAAAAAATTCTTCACCAAAAATAAATAAATAAATCAAACTTTTGAATTCTCAAGAAATGCGGTGGACCAACGGAAATAGTGAATTAATCAAAGACAGAGAGCTCTCCAATCTTGTGATCCTCCAAGTCTCAACTCCTAAATGGACTACGAACTGTAATAAATGTGTAGTGAGATGATCTGAATTTCATCACTCTTACGCTCTTAATTAGAGGTATTTTTGTGCATGAAAATGAAAATTTATTAATAGAGAACGTTTTATCTCCTTAATAAGCTATTCGGTAAATTCAAATTAATCGGATTAATGAATTTCAAATATTGATAATTAAATTAAATAATAAATTAAAAAACGACGGGCTTTAATACATATTTTTAGACGTAGTTGGCTTCAACAAAATTCAATGAAAGAATTGCAGACTTCAATAAAACATAACGAGTAGGTTGTGATGTGTGTCCAGAAGTCTCCAATTGGGAAATGTAAAGAGAATTGAATTCAAGCTAGATTTTCTAGAGCCTTCTACTATTTGATTGAATCGAGATCAACTCTAGCCTTACAAGAACAGTTGTCATGTTTCATTTTTCCTGCTCATTTACTGCACTCACGCTAAAGGTGCAACTTCATAAAACATTTTTTTTACCAACCAAAGCCAGCTCATGACTAGCTAGATAGGAATATTTGTTTTGAAGTTATCAATTCCACATATAGTTCCAAATAAAATGAAACGAAACAAGCATTTATCATACATTTTGTAAATATTTATTAATTATATAGGATTAAACAATATATTGATCTATTTTAAAGTTTTTTTTGTTATGTAACTTTGAAAAACTTACACATTGACGTAAGAACTCAGAGAAATTTTTAGACAGCATTGCCATTTTAATCTAAACCTTGCCTTGTTCATTAATTGTTTGGTAGCTACTCACCAAAAAACTGAATTGGAGCATGCATTATTATAAATATCAAATGAAGCCGTCGTTGTCTTAATTTGAAAGAAGAAAAGCGACAAGTAACCACTCTGCCCATGCATTTGTGGGATTGTTGATTTTAGACACGCCACGCAAATTAGTTACTTACCATTAATTACTAATTGGTGTTTTTCTATATCTTAATTAATTAAAATCATCATTATTGTCGAGTTCATTACTCAAATGGTCACTCAACTACCCAAATTATCTCCTAAAATCACTTTTCTTTCGTTTGTAACAACAAAGTCACTGAACTATGCATATTGCATTCAGAAGGTCACTCAACTAGATTTTCCAAATTTTGTATTGCCAAATACCTATTTTACGCTTTAAATTATAAACATTTATCTTTTATTTTTTATTTTTTGTAAATTTTTTAATATTATGATTTTTCCTTTTTAATTTACATTATGGACTTATTTATAGAATAAATAAATATTATTTATAAATTAAAAATAAAAAGTATTTAAGCATATATAATGCTGGAATAACTAAATAATTTAATTAGAATAATTTGTTAGTAATAATAATTTTATTATTAATAACAAAAATTCAAAAAAATTATTTAATTACACAATCAGAATGAAAGAAAATAAAGGTTGTAAAATATATATTCATGCAAGTAATATGAAAATAATTATTTAAATAAAGATATATTTATAATATACATTATACATTCTTGAAAATTATGCTCAATTACATTACATATATTCCATGCATGACTTAACCTAACTTATTTTAAGACTTGAAAAGGCTTGTTCACCAAGCAACCGCCTTTGTTTTTTCCTAAAAATAAAAAAATGAGCCTTAATTACTGCTTCTTTCCACCCTTAGTCCCTATATATAAATGTCCATCACCTTCAACATTTCAAGCAAATTAACTAAATCCTGTTTAATTTCCCAATGGCTTTCAACTGGGTTTTTAATGTTGCACATACAATTGTTGTTGGAAACCCAGTTGAAGCCAACAAATTACCACAGAACAAGAGCATCACTGTTTCAAACGGAAAACAGGAACAAGAGATAGAGAAGAGTGCTGTAATGGGGTTCCAAATGCCACTTCATTATCCAAGATACACAAAATCTGATTACCAGAATATGGAGGAATGGAAACTCGACGCACTTCTCAGAGAATATGGACTTGTTTTTCAGGGGACAGTTGACGACAAGAGGAAATTTGCCATGGGAGCATTTCTGTGGCCTGATCAACTTTAACTTATATACTTGTCCGAATTGAGAGAGCTCAAGAAAACAAACGTACGTGCTAATTAGAATCTTCTGTGTTTTCCTCATAATAGCCGAATACTCAAATGTATTTGAGATTAAAGCATAGTTGTTACTTACTATATTGTTCGGACGTCTGAAATTGTTGCGTCCGATCCGTGCCATATATAGGTTTATTCTGTTTTCGAAAAGCCTTGTTCAGAGGCGGGGCCATGATTTGAAGCTTATGAATTCAAGATTTTAGTTCTTTTATGTTAGTGGGTTCGAAAATAATAATTTGTACATATTTCATGAATTTCACAACATAAATACAGAGTCTGCACAAAAGCTACTGGGTTCGGCCGAACCCGTTAGCAGAAGGCTAGCTGCGCCTCTTGTTTAACCAAAAAATGAGATTTCGGTCAAAGCTTTAATTTAGAATAACTCGGGTTACTGATAATCAAAAGAATATAAGAAAGTAATTTGGCTAGCAATAAGATAATCAGACGAAAAGCAAGTAAATCGGTATATTCAGATAGTATTTCGTGTTCCTACAATTGATCCGTTCTCTCCCTTTTATAGCTATTTTGGAGATATGCGTTTTGCCTTTGTCATAATAAGGTCATTATGGACAATTAAAGACATTAAATGCTACGTTACATAATCATTGTATTTAATACAGATTCTCTAACGTTTTTAGTATTTAAGGTTCATTAAATACTGTATTTGTACTCCCATGTAGTGTCAGATTCATTCCCCTTGATTCTTGGACTTAAATAAGTACGAGCGCTGAGTCTTTTGGATTACCGCTCATGCCTCTTCCTTTGCCTCTGCTCGTATCTGTTACAACTCGTGCCTCTTTGTCAGTTGTAACTCTTTGACCAGTCTATGTGTCATGACACATAATCTTTACACCACTTTAATATGTAAACTCAATTTTTCCCAATACAGATAGTCCCCCCACTTGTCATTTATTCATCGATTGAATATTTGGGAAGTGGATTTCATTAAAATGAGAATTTTTGTCACCATTAATACTATGACAAAATCGATGCTTCAATTGTCACTTCCATTTAATGCTCTTCACACATGTCACATTTTCATTAGTTCTGCAATTTTGCAGCACTTTTTAAGGCTTTTTCACGGCTTTATTATTCACGAAGCGTCAGTTATCATTATTATGGTCCTTCCATCATTGCACCTTTTCCTTTGACGGTTGCTTATCAGTATAAATATAACTTCCTTTATTGTCTTTACCACATAAAGTTTACTGAACATCCAATTTTTTCAAATCTCTGTTTGCTTCTTCATCGTATCATCATGTCTTCATCAAACCCTAACCCTAGAAGGGTTCCCATTATTGATACCATCCCTAATGCCCCCAGTAGGAGCAGAAGAGGAGGTAGGCTTCGTAGTTTAGGATTTGCACGTGGTTCTTCTATTCCTTCACCCAGTTCTGGCCCTTCTTCTAGAACTAGAGGTTCTCTTTTACAAAGATCTTCTTCTAGGGGTAAAGAACCTTCTGAACCTCTTCGTGAGCCTTCAGTAGAAGAGATAGTTCATGCGGAACTGTCTTTTTATCATGACAGAGAGTCTCTTAAAAGCCAAGTATTGTCTTTAGATCGTGCTGATATCTATCCCACTCAAATTACTGAAGTTTTGATTTCTATAGTTCGTAGAGACTGCCATTGGAGTCATGATTTTCCTATTATCATTCCCAATCTGAATCAAAGAATTACTTCCTACTTAACCGGATTTTCCTTTGTTTATACATACCCTTTCACTTTAGGATTTAAACCAGCTATTGATCTTGTTATCCTTGAGTTTTGTCGTTTCTTTGATGTTTGCTTGGGTCAAATTGGCCCAATAATATGGAGGGCTGTTGCCTGTTTGAGGCATTTGACCAACACAGCCAATGTGCCTTTTACTTTTCCACATCTGATCCACCTTTACTCCCCTAGACTCTTTCACAATGGTGTTTTTACACTAGTAGCCAGTAGCAAAAGAGTTTTGGTGAGCCCTGAAGATGACAAAGACCGCGGCTGGTATGCCAGGTTTGTTGCTGCCCCACTGTTGGTTTAGTGGGTGATGAGAACGTTCCCTTCCCTGAGAAGTGGAATTTTGCACGTGAGTTTTCTGACTTTCTCGTACCTTTTTCTTCAAGTTTGTTGATTTTTCTTCTAATTTTGCTTTTCTTTTTCAGCAACCATGGGAGTTGTGGAAGATGTTCCCAATTTCCGTGATTGAGTAGACAAGCTATTGAAGATTGCTCCAATGGATGGTAGATCTTGGAAGACCCTTTCCCAACGATTTGGTTGGAAAGTAAAAACTCATGGTAAGAGCTTTTATTTTATTTTATCTTACATATATTTTTTTATTTCTTTGAACTAATTTCAATCCTTCTTTCTATTAGGATTTGCTATTCGAGGAGTTACTGCTGAGGCGGTCGCGGCTTCTCATATCTCTTTGGAAAGGGCCCAAGAAATAATCTTGAGTTCTTCATCGAAGAGAAAAGCCGTTGATGAACAAGATTCTGAAGAAGAGGAAGACGGGGGCTCTTTGGTAATAAGGTCACGGGCTCGAAGACGCATCATTTCTGAGATGAAGAAAAAAATCCCCCCGCCGTTCTATTCCCCTTACCGAGTCTGTTGAGGCCCCGATAGTGATTCCTGACGATGATGTTGCTCCCGATGCTGCTCATGACTCTGTTGAGCAGCTATTTATCAGCGGGTTTGGTGGTGAAGGCTTAGGCCCAGTTTTGGATGAAGTACTTTTGGCTTCTTTTTCTACACCTGTGTCCGTGACTCCTTCTTTGCCGATCTCGGCTGTTTCCGTTCCTCCCCAGACTGTCTTTACTAGTTTTACTGTTCCTACTTCTNTGCTGATCTCGGCTGTTTCTGTTCCTCCCCAGACTGTCTTTACTACTTCCACTGTCCCTGCTTCCACTGTTCCTCCTTCAACAATTCCTCCCCCAATCATTCACCGTGTTGAAGTTGGCTCCTCAAGTAGGAGTGGTGCTATGAGGCAAGTGATCATTGAAGTCCCCGCTGAGGGAAATCTCTTAAGGAAATCGGGTCAAGCAGATGTATGGCTAAAGCCCTTAATTGGACCAATTGAAAGAGCCAAGCTAGAGAGCCATAAGTCCTTGACTTTGATGAATGATATTGTGCACGCTTCTTTAAAGGTATTCCCCTTCTCTTTTTTTCCTTTGCTATGCTTTAAAATTTTTTTATCTTTGAGATTCTCATTTCCCTTCCTTTTTTTATAGGCTAATCTTATCGGCACGGAGATGATGAAAATGGTTGCCCTCTAAGAGTAATTAGTGCGTGATTCTCAATTAGAGGCGTGCAATTGGAAGGAACAATATGAAAGCCTTCAGATTGATGTGCATTACTTAGAAGAAAGTAAGAGTACTTTGGAGCAGCAGGTACGGGCCTTGACTTCAGAGTTGGCAGTTGAAAAGGTTTCCTCAAGTCAAGCGGATAAAGAAAAGGCTCGTCTTGAAACCTCTTTCTCCGAGCAGCTGTCCAAGGCAAGTGAAGATATTAGAGAGTTGAAGGCTCTCTTGGGTGAGAAAGAGGCTTATGCTGGAGAGCTCGTGCAGGATTTGACTCAAGCACAAGAACACCTCCGAGCTTCTTCTAATAAGGTTTGTACCTTGGAAAGTTCTCATGCCTCTTTTTAAGCTTCTTACACTTCTTCCTTGGCTGAAAATGAGAAATTAAAGAATGAAATTGCTGACTGGAAAAGGGATTATGAAATCCTTGAGGATAAATCTACCATTGAAGTGAGTTGGGCGTTTTTGGATTCTCGCCATGATACCCTAGTTGAAGTTAGCCAAGAGATTTTTAACTTGGAATCTGAGTTAGCTAAAATCAATGAAACTATTGAGAAGGCTCAGCAAACTCAAGATTTTCCTTCTCCCGTGGCTGAAGCTTCCGTAAATGTTAAAGTTGATACGGGTATCCCAACTCCTTCAAGCCCAGTTGAGCCCGCTGCTGTTGATGCACCTACTTCAGTCCCTACATCTTCTTAGTGATAAGTTTAAGTCATTTGAATTTCTTTATGTTGTTTTGTTTTTTGGGAAAATTATGGTAAAACCCTTGGTCTCATTTGAGGGTTTGTTTTGGAAATTCAAGTCCCCGGACCTTTCATGGGGCAATTAGTATAAACAGTTCACAATTTATGACTAAGCTCGTACTTAGTCTTAAGCTTTTTAATATTAATAAGTTTTCTCCGTTTAGTTTATTCTTGCCTTTATTTCTAAGGACTTATAGAATAATTTGCATTTTTATTCTTTAAAAATGCTTCTATTAACTTCATGAATATTTACATTAATCATGAATTTTATAAAAGAGGGCCCTTTTGTATTCGACACTTAATGAAGAAGATGTCTCAACTTCATAATGGTGTTAACATACGATAAAAGAAATAGGAATACACATGTTTCTTTGAAATAACTTTGACAAGTTTTTATTTGAACTTTGTCTAGTAACTGTTTTTCTTGTAACAGATTTAAAAAAGAAAAATAAACACGAGGTTTTTATCTATAACTTGTTTCAGTACATAGCCTTTACCCTAACTATGGTAAGGTTTTTCTTTGGCCTTAACTCGTGACTTTGCTCTGCACTTGACTCATTCAATGAGTGAACTTTTCAGGGCTTGATCTTCTTTGCCTTCCTTATACACATACCCGTGTATATTATGTAGTCCCCCAAGTGTTTGAGCGTTGAAGTATGAAGCCTCGAGCACTTGGTTGTTCCTCTTATTTGGTCCTTTCCCTGTAAAGGAAAGACATACGAGAGTCGGAGGTACGATTATAGATGAAGACTGCTTAACCTGTTTGAATTTCTATCAGAATAATTGTAATCCTAGGCCAGGAAGTTTAATTTATTCCACGTGCCTTGCAGGTCGTGACTCATCATTTAGTACGGGTTAGCATTTTGCCTATCATCTAAAATCGTTAGTAAAATTTTAACAATTCAAAAGTTAAATTTTAAAATGTGGATACCTGACCGTGGGTATTCTTCAGAAATAATATCTCTTCAGATGAACATCATTCCAATGTGAAGGTAGTATCTTGCCATCCATTGTTTCTAGCTCGTATGCTCCTTTACCTGCAATATCATGAATTCTATAGGGTCCTTCCCATGTTGGACTTAATTTCCCCTAGTTAGCTGCCTTCGTAGATTGAAAAACCTTTTTGAGCACAAAGTCCCCAATTTTGAAGAATCTGAGGCGTGCTTTTCTGTTGTAGTATCGTTCTATGACCT